ATTAAACTTTTATTTTGGACCTCAGCGAATCTTTTGTACAGCGTGTCGGACAAAGCGCTCGGCCCGACCTCGTCCCCTCAGCGCTCTTCAGTCTGTTTTTATGAAGTCGCTGCAGGATCGTCTGGCCCGAGTCAAACATGCAGCTGGAAGTTGTTATCTGTGCTCAAGTTTGGCTTGAATCCGTACTTGCCTGTTTCGCTAAGAGGTGACTGCATATGTAGTGTGTTGTATGGCTGTAGTCGCTTTAAACAGATCACGTCTGTTTTTGTACTTTAAAAATGGGCCTTGATGCCGTTATGATGCCGTCCCTGTGCAGGGATAAAATACACGTTACTGACAGATTTTAAACTGTTTATTGACATGGTCCAATAACCACAGGGCAGAAAACATTTTAACAACGATGACCGATGCTTTACTGCACAGCTCACCTGTAATAAACATCTAACACAACAGTCCATTGGTACGTTTTCAATCCTGAGCAGCATAGCTTTAACTCGCTCTTCATTACTTGAGTTTGACGCTCTTCTTGACACCAGCTCGGATCCCAGACATCTCTCCGCTGTACCTGGTCTCTTCCCGACGCACCTCCCGGACCTGGTGAACGACACACAGTTGGTTTAGACTGATGAACCTCCAGACGGCCCTGGAAGCTCTACGATGCACTTCAGTGATGCTCTGTACAAACCTGGCCCTTTCTGCGGATTTTGGCCCGTCTGAACTTCTCCCTGTGCTTGACTCTGGGGTTACGGTCGATCTTCTTCCTCTTTGGCGTCAGCCCCTTGTTCTTGGCCATCTGTGGAAGCGTTGGACACACTTTGTTAAGTCTGACACAACATGCATGAAGTCAAACAGTATTTACAGATGATTTTACACTGAAGCATTTGTTTAAAGATGCATGTAGACATTTCTCTTAAGCCTCAAAAAGGAGAAGCAGTAGAAGAGAAGGTTCGAATAATGATTATTAAGAAGGAAACATTCTTTTATAAGCTGATGTTCTTGTAGCTTTCCAATACAGTCATGGTGTTGACAAAGCTGTACTGAGCTCGTCCAGCAGGGGGTGCTCTCTCATGACCAAAAAAAAGAATTCCTTAAAATGACACCTCTGAGGTTTTTCTTCCTTAACGTGGGAACAAGCTCGCTGACACACTGAGACCTACCCTCTTGTACGACTGAATAATAGTCAATCTGCATTTTTCTTACACATTAGCAGCATGTTGCTACTAGTCAGACACACAGAACAGACTCAAGGACAGAGGAGTGATTGTTAGACACTCCACAAGCCCATAATTACCAAAAGTGTTTATATTCTAGGGTTGCAAAAAAGCTGCTGCACCAGGGCCTCTGAGCAGTCACAAGGCCCGGCGTACATGTGCAGAGTGCATGGACCAAACCGCTCCGGTGAGCCCACGTCAGATTATCAATTCACTCTTGTTGGTCCAACAACATTTGCCTTTATGGCCCAAAACCCACTGAGAGGAACCGTTAAATTTCTGTGAAATGTCGATCTTCAACTACCGTAATGTCTGGACTATAAGCTGCTTCTGTTTCACACCTTTGAACTCTGCGGCTTAAACAACGATGCGGCTAATTTATGGATTTTTACGAATTTGTCTCGAGACCAAAGTGAGGCTGAGAGCGACGATGACAGAGAGACTGAGGAAGTGATTAAGTGATTCTGAGGCTGTTCAGCTCCTGAAGACACTGAAGAAGACGACTTTAGTGGTTTCAGTGCAGGAGGAAGATGAAGATAGCCATCAGTGACTTTTCCTGGTAGCTGCTGGAGTTTTATTTCCTTAACCAGCCGTGTTACAGGAAGTGTTCAGAAAAAAGCCTCTACGGTACGTATCTGTGGATGTTACCGCTACGCATTTAATTAAAGGTTAAAACATCTTTCTGTGTGAATATCTCATGTTCCAACGTGGACACCTGCAGCTTAGAGACACATGCAGCCTGTATGTGTACACACCTGGTTTTCTTTTTAACGTTAGTGGGTGGGGCTTATATTCAGGTGCGCTCATAGTCTGGATATTACGGTAATCTGATTGCGCTGTAATCATCAGTATTGATCATCACTTCCTGTCGTGTACATGGTGGTCACTCTGTACCTGGTACGTGATTCCTCTCTTGGCATCTGGATCCTCCTCCTCCTCCTCCTCGTCTTCATCCTCCTCCAGCCTGCATCAGAAGAACAATGATTAGGTCCCTGGTTTCTTCTTGTCTTAACGACCAGTTTATAATCAACTCATTCTTACTCTTCTGGTTTGTTCCTCTGCCTCTTTAACTTCAACCGTTCCTCCGCTTCTCTGTAAAAACGCAGCGCCGCTTCCTCGTCCAGGTCGGAGTCGGAGTCCTCCTCAGCCTCGGGCGCCGTCTCTCCAGATTCCTGGGTTTAATGTGAACTCATTAGCATTCAGGTTTTATGTTAAACATCAGCAACAGCTTCTAAATGAAGAGCCCCCTTCAGGTCTGCTAACCCGCCGAACCCCGAGCGTTGCAGGAGCAATTAGTCTCACCACATTTCTACTCACTGTGGGCTCATGTTTGACTAAAGTCCTGCAGCTCGAGCAGCACGAGCTCAGCTAGAAGTAGAGAGAACTTAAAAACACCTTCTTTTGTGCAGGATGACACAGTTAGAATGGGTCTGACCAGTACTGTAGAACATAAAGGCTGTAGACGGGTCATCTGACTGGGCCTGTCTAAATACTGTAACTACAACTTGTTCACTCTGCTCATCCGCTCTAGAAAACTATTCCACCATGCTGACATGCTGGAGGTATTTTCCAACCACCTGCTGACAACCTGCTCCACTGTTTCCTGTTTCTGAACCATTTGTTTTATTTGCTGCTCCATCCGTCTTGTCGTCTCCTATCTGCTGCACATCCTGCAGTTCACCCCAAAAAAACATTACTGAACTGATATGAAGGGGTCGAAGCTGACTTGGTCGAGGCTTTTCCGTTAGACTGAGGCGCAAAAAAAGGTCAGACAGACATGCAGATTACTGTAATCATGATGAGATATCAGAAGTTCAAGCTGAGACTTTCTGATGGGGCGACACGTCAGCAGAAGCCGTGGCCAGGTTTTGAAGCTCAGAGGGTGAATGGATCGACCCAGAACAAACACAAACATCTCACCTTCTCCTTCTTACTGGGGACTCTGGTCTTCTTGCCCCCTGCTGGCCGGCTGGTTCCTTCACCGGCCAGGAGTTGGCGAAACTCTGGAGCGAGCCGAGCATCTACGGCACCGAGTTCATTGATGAGCTGCAGGAAGACGTGAAAGAGTCGGTAAGACGGAGGGCTGCTGTGTGGATGTGGATGTTCGTGTGAAGTTATTTCATGATTCTGGTGCCGGTTCTGTGAAGTGTCCCAAAGTAAAGGCAGCTGACCAGCACTCATGAGTCGATGTTCCTGACCACTGCTCATACAGACGACTTTATGACTGTAAAGCATAACCTACTGATTCCTTTCTTCATTCAGACTCATCCTCTTTAACTCTTGCTGTTTTTTGAAATAAATGTAAGTTATCACACTGTTTCTACCTCCAGTGAGTTAAAATTAGGCCTCTGCTCTTTATGTACCTGAGGTCGTGGTAAAACCTGCTGAACTCAGAGGGAACCTACAGAGAACCCTGATCAGCTGTTCTGAAGGTCGGTCAGCTCAGAGTTCTGTTCAGAGTGAGTTAAACCTGCTCTCAGGCGGTGACGTGTGGACTTACGTTTCTGTAGGTGAGCAGTCGTTCAATCACAGGGTGGTTGTGAGCCGGGATCCGTTTAGCTTTCAGCACCAAGTAGAAACTGATGTTGGTGCAGTAACTGTGGCGAGAAGGAGTCTTTATTCAGCGACGCACCGCGGACTGAACATTTAGAACCGAACCGGTTTTATCACAACTTACTTGAGATAAAGCTGCCGTTTAGTCTTGAGATAGTCGGCACCCTGAGGAGGAGAGCACGGAAATCATTCAACGGTAACGACATGTGTCCTGATAGTCCAGCACAGATACAGGGTGAAGGCAGGTTCACCTGGACAGGTAACCAGTCTATCACAGGGCTACACTTAGAGACAGACAACCAAGCACACTCACATTCACACCTACGGACAATTTACAATCACCAATTAACCTCAGCATGTTTCTGGACTGTGGGAGGAAGCCGGAGAACCCGGAGAGAACCCACGCTGCACGGGGAGAACATGGAGACTCCACGCAGGAAGATCCCGGGTGTCCTCACCGGGACGCCAACCGGCGACCTTCTGGCTGTGAGGCCACGGTGCTAACCACTGACACACCTGCAGCCCTCTTCCATTTTGTCAAACAGTTTTCTGCCTTTCCATTTGATAAACTGGTATCATGAAGGTACTGATTTATTCACTGAGACTGAAATGCCGCTGAGTCCTCTCACCTTTCCTGCCGGGATCTTTCCGTCCTCCACCATCTGTACAAGCGGCTGCAGCTCATCCTTCAGTTCGTTTAGCTGCACACAGAGACACGTTAATGACATGATCTGTGGTGAAGACCTACAGGCCTCGTACGTCTGGTTTGGTGCTCGTCTCACCTTTGCCTTGAAGTCCTGGATGAGCTCAAGCAGCTCTGGTGATTCCTTCTTCAGAAGCTTCATCTTCTCCTTCTGAGACATCTGCTTCAGGTCTTTCACGATCCTCTCCTGTTTTTCTACAGCCTGGCTTTCATCCTTCTCCTCCACAGCAAATTCCTTTATGTAGGGTGACACACACAGGTATTCATCATCATCATCATCATCATCATCATCACATGAGGAATTAGCTGCATGCATAGCAGACAGATGTACAATAAACGTACCTGGAAGAAGTTTAGATCATAATCCTCCTCGCTCAGATTGGCGGCTAAACGGTTCTGGATGTTTTTGGCCTCCTCTTCCTCCTCCTGTTCGTCAGCCTCCATCTCTTCCTGTGATTTCCCTTCTATAGAAACACAATTAAAAGGTTACACAAGTAAACACGGATGAACAAATCTTTCCAAGTGTTTACAGAGATGGAAGGATGCTCACTCTGGGCCATGTAATCTGAGTCGTAGAACATTTTCTTCCTGGCGCCCCACGCCATCTCGTTAGGAAGATCTGTGGACGACAAACACAGTTAAACAGCTCAACAGTCAAACATGCACTGACAACAGACTGCCTTCAATGTCTACCTTCATCCTTTTTCCCCTCCAGGTCGCTCTCCATGTCCGTCCCCTCTCCCTCTTCCTCATCCTGTTCCTCCTCCTCCTCTTCCTCCTCGTCTGATTCAGAATCGTCCAGGGCCATCACCTCCTCCTGTGGAGTTCAGAAAAGCTCGAATTTGATCTCCACCAACATTTATTATCTGAGGTTCTGTCCTAATGAACGTGTGAGCCGTCACCTCGTCGTCCAGGTCCTCCTCATCACTCTCCATCTGAACGCCGCGGGCCAGAAGGTTCTGAGACACCAGAGCAGAAGAAGTTAGAAGAGCACAATGTCAGCAGCACTGAACTCTGAACGACAGGGAGGAGAACTTACTGCGATCTTCTCATCATGAAACTCATCGATCTTGTCCTTCGTGTACTGTGAGGATTTCTGAAACAGGAGAGAAGAAGCTGTTGAACATGACAATCGAACATCAGAGCAGGGCTGATGAGGTGGAAGTCTGTAGAGGGGTGAGTGGCTTCTGCAGATGTAGAGCTGGAAAATAAACCGTCATATCGACGTCACACTAGTCCTAAATGTTCTTCATCTGATGCTGGTCAAACGTCAGATTGTCCTTCACATGGAAGCACAAACAGCATCATGAAGTTAGTTCTCCTGTTACTAACCAGAATAAAAACTGACTTTTGAACAGTGAGAAGTGACCGACTGATACCTGTAGATGTGTCTACACTGTAAAGGCAAGACCGTGGTTAGAACTTTGCACTGAGCTTATGGCATCACACAAACAGCACCGAGGTTTGCTCTACGACAACCGTCTGTGTTTAAGCCCGGCACGTTTAGAGACGTCAGCTCCATTTTAAAGGTTGTCTGAGCTGTTTTGCTGATTTTGTAAGAGTTACAGATGTTTTTCCCTCATAAATATACAAATACGTCTCAGTTCTTTGACATGTTTTAATCAGTCTACTGAGATAAGGAATTCAAAAAGTGCTGCTTTGGCTCTGAAGCTGTCGTGACGTCCCACCAACAGGTTGTATGACTGTTACAGGTCCAGTAATGAGCTCAACACTAACGAATAAATGGTAAGAAGATATTTTAATAAGACGTAGAAAACACAAGTAAACAGGCATTTTAACAGAGTACCATGCTGGAACTTTAACGTAAATCTAAATTGGTTCCCAACTTTAATTGCTGGTCACCCTGATTACTGATAATCTGGAATCAGTCACATCGTTCAGCTCTGAACCGCTCTGGGACTTTGCTTTGGACCAAAACAGAACTTCAACGATCAACCAGTTAGTTAACGAATAAAAACAATCACCAGCTATTTTGGTCATCAGTCAGCTGTTCATAAAGAAGTCTGAATTCTCATTTGTTGTTGTTTTTTAATCCTCTGTGACAGTAAACTGATCACATTTCAGTTATAAACACATCAGAAGACGTCTTCCTGGACTTTGAAAAAAACTGACTGACATTTTCCACCATTTTCTGATATTTTATAGATCAAACAACGAATCAACTGAGGATAGAAACGGTTGTTAGCTGCAGCCCCAGTTCATCAGCATGCAGGAGTTTTAACGTGTTGGAACAGGAACCGTTTAGAGGACAGTCTGGACCCTGCAGCCCTCTGAACCTCTGGTACCAGCTGGATACCAACGCCTGTAATGATCAGTGCATCTCCTACCTTGTCAGGGACAGGCATGTTCTTGTAGGCTTCAGGGTCATCTTCATCGTACTGCTGTTTCTTCTGTGGCTTCTGTACCGGTTTAGCCCTAAACAGGAGAGGACACAGGGTTAAGTCTCTGTTCTGGATCATCCAGGAGCCTCCATGCTGCCACCACAGCACCGGGGTGTTATAATAGTAATATATTATATATAATTACAAATGAGGAGCTCCCGGGACAAAACCAACAAACTGCCAGTGGTGTAGCAGCGACAGATGATTACAGCCCACCAGCTGTTTGTGACTCCAACATTATATCACAATGAAAAGAAAACACATCAGATGTTAGCTAGCTTTAGCCAAACTCACCGTTTCTGTCGAACCATGATGGAGTCAAACTTTCCCGCCACACGTCACAAAGGAGCCGCTTGAACCACCAGCGACTTTATCAGCAGGTTTAAAAGGAGAAAAAGTGTTTAAATAGTCCAGCGAAGTTCAACACACTCACTGGATACCATGTGCTTCCGTGGTTTCTTCTTCTCCTCCAGATTAAACGGTAGTCTAGCCGGAGACACACCGCCACCTGCCGGCCTGGAGGTGAAGCATCACACCACCAATACAAATGGATTTAAATCTATCAAATACTAAACCTATATTTGTTATGACAAAAAAACAAGGTTATCAACACAGATTAAACTTTTTTCAAATGCTCTAAAGAAGATGCAGTTTATATATATTTTTTATTATTTTCTATTTTATTTTATTGTATTTTATTTTATATACTGTATACGAAGAGTTCATCTTCAACAACAGATACCTCCATCTCCACAAACCTTCAGAAAACCCATTTCTCCATCGTGTACCTGAGACAACATCAATCAAACTGAAGTTATCTCTACTGTTGTCATTTCTACTGAGTCAGATCCACTCAACTTCAGTCAACAAAAACAATTTTCTGAAAATCTACAAAAATGGAGTTATCTGTTTTTGCAAATGAACTCTTCATGTATTTATATATATTCAATTATGTCACACTGGTTATTTGCACTATTCCATGACATGTAGGCATGTATGTCTATATTTGCATTTGCACTGTTTATTATTTTTATATCTTTTATATCCTCATTTCTATATTCTGTGTTTGCACTATTCTTTTTAAATGTATATTTTTATACTTATGTTTGCACTATTTCTTATATGTACATTTTTCTTTCTAGTCTGTGTGTCTCTGCATGTACTGCTGCTGACAACACAGTAAAATTTCTCCACTGTCAGATAAATAAAGGCTTATCTTATCTTATCTTATCTTATCTTATCTTATCTTATCTTATTTAATGAGTAAAAACAGATCCTTTACTTGACGACTACAGCTTATGAAATGAAGATGGTTCATATTTTTTAGTGGATATTACTTTTCCTTCCAAAATATCTAAATAAATTACTCATACAATACTCAATAATACGTTGAACTTCAATATCTCATTATGATGTGTAATATTAACCTCTTAAGCTCTTGTTTGATGCATTTTTT